CGTGTAAGCAAAGCTTGATGCCTACGACTACGAACTATTACTACATTGTAATAGGACTCAAAGCATCACAAAGTTCACTGTCTACTGCCTCTGAAAGACCCTCAGTATATTCGCCATCTCCTCCACACGTGAGCAGCTGGCGAAATTGCGATCTGCAAGTACATTGGACATGCGATGCAGGCGAGTGTCAATTTGAAAGCTGTTGGTGTCCTGTCATGAATGCTGATTTCGTCAGCTCTCGAACGAATTCGACAGGGTGTCCATGAGGATCCTTTGAATCAGCTCACACACACAAACGCAAAGGCATCAGCGACGATAGGAAGCTTAAGAAACAAAGCTAAGAGCAAGGCAGCTCCATGCGCACCATCGATGGCAGCAACCTTCATAGACAGGTGGATGTGTACGATGCAAATCAAGCTCTAGTTAATAGTGTGGTGAGGATAGTATCGTATTCTCCTCCACTGCAAGCAGTGCAAAATGACTGACTCGGGCCTTTTGAGCTAGGAGCATTCTCTCTGCAGCTCAGCACAAATGAATTGATGAATTTGATTCTCCCTCTTGCACACCGCACCGCTGTGCACCACTGTGCACCGCTGTGCACCGCCGTACCGCATCACCCTTTAAGGGCCGCTTTGAAACAGCCATCCAGCTCATCATCTTTCAAGCCGCCGAGCTCGCAAAGCAGTTCTCGTACCTGACACGAACCGCCAACACGACCGAAAAAAGGGATCTGCGACCAGTCAGCGACATGCCGATGATACGTAGAAAAAAGGAGACTCGTTTCAGAAAAGGTTTTAAGTAGGCGCCTACTTAATTAAGGGAGTAAGCTCCTAGCTACTTAAGTTTCTAGTAACTGGACGCAGGATAGGTCACGCTAATGATGTGGTTCCTAGATGTTTAGGGAAGCTTAACATATATTAGTTGATTGAAGGTCGCAAAAGCAAACGCAAAAAAATGATGTAAGCTGAGTTTGTCAAAAGACTTTGTGCAAGTGAGTGGTGCAGTTGGATTCTAGTTTTGATATGATTTGATCTAAGACTTCTCATTATGAAGAAGTGCTGGCTTTAAGTCTTCCTCCTGCCTTCTCGACTCTGTCTTTACTCCAAGCTTGCTGCAAAGGGGTTCCCCCTTTAGATTCAAAGTGCTCCAGCAGGAAGCCCAATTCCACAAAGGCCGAGGTGGGATCAATCGACGCCATGATCTTCTGAACCGTTTTCCACCATTCTGACCAACCCCAACCAATCCGGGACCAACCCCAATCTGACTCAGGGCCCTTCGGGAAGATGCCCAACAGCAACTCCTGAAGCACTCCCTGGGGATCGATGTTTGCTCCAATGGCCATCTCCACAGCTTCCTCCACAGCCTTTAGCTTCACTGCATGTCCTTTAAGCAGCTCAGCCAAAACTTCCCCCAAATTGCATTGGGGAGCACATTCCAAGCAAAAGGTGATAATAGCACCTACAATGCGCGATTGACTGTCGGCTGGAATCTCCATTGCCTGCCAAACTTGAAGCCAATCTTTGGGCTTTTGTGCCGCACCCTGTACGATCATGACGTGCAAGAAGCGTTTCAGATTCTCTGTGGAAACTTCTCCATCTTGTACAATCTTTGCCTTCTGAAGTTCTCCCATCAAAGCATACAGCGGGTCACTGCTTTGAAAACTTGTCCACGTATCTCCAGTTTTCAAGCTCTTGGCAGGCTCGAACGAATCTTCAGCAGGTCGTTTCATTGAGCCCATGCCGCGCACAGGAAGAAGAGTATCATGCATGGAAATGCACAGGTCAGGATTTTTGTACACTTCAGGCATGTGTTTTGCATGATCTTCCCTTGACGTCTGGACTCAAAGCATTGGAATGATTTATACAGCATGTATCGATTTTTTCTTACAAGCTTCTGAATCTGTATAGGTGTCGTATGATTGGAATGAAATTACAAGCTTGAACCAAAATTGCTCTAGTCCCGAAGGGGTCACCTCGAGACCAAGCCAAGTGAGCTTTTAACACTGAAAGCGCCATCCGCTAAGCACCATAAGCTTCTGGTCAAGCGACCAAGCGAGCCGCATCAAATGGCGAGCCGACAGTGAAAGAGTGAGTGTGGGCGAATCAACGAGTCATCTAGAATATATAGAGGCGTTTCAGCCTTTCAAAAAATAGAAAATAAAACTGTGAGACAATTCGAGTCCAGCATAGAAGGACAGGCTCTTGTTGATTGTATATTGTATATAAAATATCTAGTCTATATGTCACTGTATATATATATATGTAATATTGCATTCAAGCTTCTAAGGTGTCAACTTCACCAGCCATACAACACAAATCAAGCAATGCAACAAGGTCTTGTGACAGATCCTGACATGGCTAAGTCACTGGCAAGAAGCTCTCTTGATGCACCATAAGCACCGTGAGACTTGACCTAACTGTCGAGGCAACAGGCAAGCAGCAAGCAGCAAGCAGCAAGCAGCGGTGTGACAAATGTTGACTAAACGTGGCATCCACGCAAACTTGAGATTAATTTGAAAGGAGGCTCAAATGCACAGTCCAAGCTTCTTGAAACGTAGCACCTGCTCTTAAAGAAGCACCACTTCACCCCAAGCTTACCTCTTTCATCCGGCGCCGATGAAAGCCACGGCCCCTTGGACCCCTTGGACCCCTTGGACCCCTTGGACCCCTTGGACCGGACCCCATGAGGACACGAAATGAGAGAGTCACACCGTGAGAGCGGAAAGGCTCGAGGAGTCGGGCTGTTTTCAGATTCACAGAGCGGATCTGGTTTCCAATGAAGTCCTTTGCCAGGGGTCTTTGACTTTGCATTCCAGGTCATGTCTCTCTATCTTAGCAAAGAAAGCCACATTAAGTAGTCAGACCTAGGACACTTGTGGTGTCGTCTCCTCAAACTCTGAGTCAACAACTGTTTCAACATGGCCCTTCAACTGCTGCTGCAGGACCTTAAGCAAAGTAGAGACAGAAGCCCCTGCCGGAACTCATGGAACAACCCGAGATTCGATCCACCACACAGGAGGCCGCAATTTTCAGCAATGGTGCTATTGCCTCACAAGTTGATCGAAGCAAAACGCAATGGCTGATCAGTTCCGCACCTCTCTGCTTAGCATGGGCCCTTGAACTTGGTCCTGCCCTCGGAATCCTCAGTACCGGAAACCGTCGAAAACGGTCCAGAAAGGCCGGCGCGCTTTCCACGCTTTCGCAGCGTGGCGCCCATGGGCTCCAAGCAGGCACGCCGGGCTCAGCTGGGGTCGCTGCGAGGAGCATCCCAGACTTCAGACCAGAGTGACACAAGCTCCTGAGATCTGTCTGCACGACAAAGCAGAGACATCCATCACAACAAGCCAACCAACATATGCAGCAAGCCAAGGTGCCCAAGCTGCAGCAGGCATAGGGCTCTTCACCTTGCCCCACTGCAGATCGAAGGTGGAGCAACATTTGATTTTCTTCATAACGGGATCTGCCATAAGCCACAGGCGAAGCCCATAGTTCCAGTGCTGTCGCCCTGGTGTCACGGGAGCTCAACGGTGCGAAAACAACTAAAAACCGCGCAAGAGTGTTTCAAGCCAAGCTTCCTCCATTCTCTGTCCTGACACGCACGGACCGAATAGATCATCATCTCATGTGTGCAGATCGCTTCTCCAAACCGCAACAAAGAAGGCGCCGCATTGGCAGTGCACAACCACTGCGAGGATATGTTGCGAAGTTCTTTCTTGCTTTAGCCAAGCTTCGTAAACCTTCGAATGACTAATGCTCGGCCAAACACTCGAGCCAAGTACCCAGCACAAAAGGTAAAGCATTAAAAGGCCACAAAGTCTGCAGCTGGCATCTAGGAAAATCTGTCAAAAAAAGCTAGTGGGCTGTCAAGCTCAGAACTTTTCTGACACCTTTCGATCTGGTTCTGTGCTTCTTCTGAGAAGAAGATGTGTTTTCAGCATTTTCTGAGGCCTGGCACAAACAAAGGAACTGTGTTTCGCTTCAGCTCGCAGTTTGCGTGACTGTTTAGCTAGCACCTGGTGGCGAGAAAGGCGCAGGAGCAAGCACCTGGAGTGGCACAGGAGAGTCGAAGTGACACCTGTCGTGTTGCAGTACTGTCGAATGAGCCCAAGCACTCCAATTCGCAGGCTGTCTCCAAGCCCTTCAAGCCTGAGCAACAGTTCCGCAGAAGCAACGAGAGAACTCTGACCTGGCAGCCATGGCATGCCATGGCCTTCAAACGAGAACTCCTCCACTTTAAAAGTCTCAGGAGCCTTTCCGTCTTGAAGTCAGTTCTTCTACAAACCAGTGTTCAAAAGTTTACAAAAACAAAGAGGATGTGGAAAGCGAGCCTTCGAAAGAAGTAAGTCATGAGCATCTGGATCGCGCCTCACAGTTCTGCAGATGCCCTCAAGGCCAAGTCTGGAAGCTAAAGGCTTTTGATGACTCGGTGATCCGCTAAACTCTATTTTTGGGATAGGAAACTAGGCTGCTAGGCAGGGATGTGGAGTCGCTCAGAGTAGGAAGAAACGAGGTAGCTACTCCCAGAGGTTCCCTATGGGCTGTGGAGCTCCCTTGGAGAACCAGACTCTCTTCACTGTCTTCGCCTCTGCAGGCAAAGCCAGCAGCTTCCAGAATCCTTGGAAGACTGAGTTTTCGCTCAACAAACAGACTCGAAAAGAAAACTCAGTAAGCAAACTCCACACACAAACAAACAATCTTTGGACCCTGCCTCCATCAGTGCTAGGATTGTTTGCAGCAGTGGCCTGTCCGAAGACAAAATCCGTCCATTTTGTCGAAAGAAACTAAAGCAACTTGTGACCTGCAACGCTGCAAACAAAGTAATTGCCACAGAATCAGGCCAGTCAGACTCAACAAGTCGTGTTGCAAAGACTACGTCCGAGCCAACCACCAAGTCGAAAGGGCCTTGCAGAAATGCATGCGCAGTCAGCACGCCAATAGCGCTTGTAGCAGTGGGCACACAGCAAAAGCTACATTCACAGCCCAACCACTTCAGTAAGCGTGTATTGAAGGCAATAAAGAACATGTCGGTCTTGGTGTATTGGCCTTTGCTGCACACAGCAGCTATATCGTCACTGTCTCCCCAGGAGAGTGGCAAGACCTAATGGCCGATCGTTCAATGACCATGGCGGCTGATGGCTGATGGTGAACGGCAAACTCAACGGACAAAGCACAACAAAGATTCTGAAAACGCATAGAAATATGGTGCCCAATTCGTCACAAACTTTGGAGGTCTGTCTCGGGACCAACTATGCTGCCAAAGGCCTACCGGGCCTACCGTTGAGAAGTGTCTCTTGTGAGAAGGAACCTGTTCTCGCAACGCCTTAATAGTGAAAGTCATCCTCTGCTGGACATAGGATCTCCAAGTTTTGTCATTAAAAATCTGAACTGGACGTCTGAACGTCACAGCAGCCGAACCGTTGTGTTCGACCAAACTGAATCGTGGATCGACGCCTCAGGAGCCACCAGGTTGCCCTCCGAAGTTTGAGCCTCTTCATGTAGATGGTTGCAGCATCCAGGTTAAAAGAAACTTCACTTTTTCTTGAAAACATCAAAATGTTTGAACTCCGGTGAAAGCTGGACAAACAACTATGTATGTATGTATGGATGGATGGATGGATGGATGGATGGATGGATGCATGTATGCATGTATCTATCTACCTAACTATCTATCCATCCATCTATCTATCTATCTATCTACGTATCTATGTATGTATGTATGTATGTATGTATGTATATACATATATATATATATATGTGAACCTGAGAAGGGGGGACGAAAGCCAGCAGCCGCCAGACGAGTGTCTCTTTTTCTGGCGGGCGTCGCGGCACAAGACACATGGTCGGCAGCTTGCGAGGCCGCGGTGCCGCGGATGCGGGGGGCGTATGTAATGGTGATTGAGGGAGCAGAGAAGCAAGCCGGGCGGCTTTGGGATAAGTTTGGTATGAAAGACGTAGTGAGAAATGCGATCCGTTGTATGTTGGCGTAGGTCATCATCACTCACAAGGCAATGGCATGTGTTTGTCACACGCGGGAAGGCATGCGTCTTATGGAAGTTGGAAGGCGACATCAGCATTAGCGAGCGCGCGCAGGAAGACCTTCTCCATAGTGAGCGTCGCCGTGCGCGCCCGCGCGCGCGCGCGAGTATGGCATGCGTTTGAAAAGAAGCAATTATGCGGTTGTTACATTTGGAGGGTTTGAAGTTTGCAATGCGTACTGCGGCGCGTCAAGAAGCGGCCTTCGTTGATGTGGAAGAGTGAACGGGCACGTCTTAGCCGGGACACGGACGTTTGATCCCGCGGCGCAGAAGACCGCAGAAGGGGAGGTCCAGCAATAATTGCTTTGGCTAGCAAAGGAGTGAGGATTTGCGCGCCTATCGATGCACATGCCTGGACTTGAGTGAGTCACGTTCTGGCTCAATCCAAAGCACGGTTTTTTATTTAAAAATGTTTTTTTAATGATCCAAACACCTTCTTTATTCTTCTCTTTCTTATCAACTCTGCGTCTTTCTCACTCAGAGGCCTTGACTTCGGCACCTGCGCGCGTAGATCTTTGGGCCGTGGACCTAGGCTGACTGGATTCGGCCAGGGCTGCCAGCAAAAAGGCGACGTCATGAGTCAATAGTATATAGAATTTGTCTATTATCTATCTATCTATCAATCTATCTATCTCTCTCTCTCTCTATCTCTATCTACCTATGTATGTATGTATGTATCTATCTTTCTATCTATCTGCGCCGGCAAGCCGGAAAAACGTTCGGTGCGTGTGGACGCCGCAAGAA